GTCCAACCAGTTTGGACCAATCTGGTTCGAATGGGTCTAGGGTTTGATCTTTAATTAAAGATTTAATTCAAGAATTAATCTGAAATTAATTACTGATAAAAGAATAGGCAAGAATCAGTCAAATAGGGTTGTTCGCACAATCCATCCTGCAAAACAGAGGTTAGATCACAGGTTGCAGTTTCATAAACTACAAATCACAGATAGCGATTCTCCCATCTGCGAAATCTCCTTCTTTGCCATCTTCGATCCAAAATAAAATAAATAGAAAACCTAATTTCTATTAATAATTACATCAGATCGAATGCCTATACATTCAGTTTAAAAATAAAAAAATATATTTTACAGACCAAATGTAATAAAATAATTAAGAAACTACAAAATAGCAGATTCCCTGCGCCAATCAAGATTTTGATCTCCATGTGTACGAACAGCCCAAAAATCAAGAAAATTATAAAGAACAATTCTAAATAATAATCAGATTTTTTAAAATTAATTTCAGATTAATCGCCCATTAACTAGAAACAAATTTTCCAGAAAAACATCATATCTGCGCAAATTGGCAGAAGGTGTTCTACCCGATTTGCGCAGGTTCAGATTTGATCCAATTTGGTTCAAGACTTGAACCTGGCTCTGATACCACTGAAGGGAGTGAAAGATCCATCGTTTAGACGCCCAAATCTTGCGGAATAAGGTGGGCGAATTTCAAAAAATTTCTCTCCCCTCAATTGGGAATCGCATTCCCTATTTTAGAAAATAATAATTTTCATGGATCATTCTTGAACCATGAATCGAACCAGATCTAAACAAAAGCAGTTGGAGAGGATTATACCTAATACGGAGAAATAATATCTCCCAACGAAGGTGTTCACGCCCAAGGAAGGATCCAAAAACTTCTCCCACTGAAGATGGCGCAGTGTAGGATGGAGTAGAATTAGCAGTGTTCTCTCCAAGAACCTAATCCTTCACAAGAAATAGCAGGATGGCACATGAGCACAGCATCCTATCAGTCCCTTCACAAGGAACTGATGTCAAGATCGAATCTTGATTTCTCCCACTGAACTGGAGGTCGAAGTGGCAGGTGAGGCGGCGATAGGAAGGAGGCGGTAAGAGAGGATTTTCGCAGATGTGCTGAGTTCTCTCTTCTGTGATTTCAGTTCTGAAGACAAGTGAAGGACTTGTGTTGTGCGTCTAAAGGCTGTCGCCCCCTCCTCCTTTTGTAGCCTTAAAGGGATCAGCTCCTAATCCCATTAGGAGTTGCTGATCCAAATCATATTTGGATCAAACTACCCTTTAAGTGATAAGGGAAAACCCTTATCTTATCTGCAGATTGGATCAGCCTTCTCCTAGGTATAGAAGCAGAGAGGCGAGGGTCTTAGGAAAATTAGTACCTAAGACCTGATAACATCACTTCAAAGTCGGTCTTATGAGAAGCTAAGAGCATGTTTCTCTAGATTTCATAAATTTTGGCAACTGTGTTTATTGGTTTTCTGAAAGAAATTGAGCCTGAATAAGTCCCGTATCGAGCTGCTACAGCAACTTGGAGAGAGGGGTGCCTAATATCTTCCCTCTCCCAATCCTTGAGACTCGAAATCTCTCAGTTGTCAACCTTTTTCATGAATAATGGAGTCACTATCAAAGACTTAAATCAAAATTTTCATATTTGAAAATAAGGGCCTATTCCCTCTAAAAAATGGGTGGCAACTCCATTTCTGTGAACTGGCCATGAACTTCCTAAAGCTCACAACAAGTCTAGCACTAAGGCTACATAGGTAGGTGTTAGGCTAAGTGAACTATTGTTGCCGACAACAAAGGCAGATGGGCCCAAAGTAGACTTAGGCATGTCGTAATGCACATAGATTGCAGGCGTGTAGGTGGATGGGTGTTGATGCCTTGGACTTAGACTTGACACTTGATGCAAATGCAAAGGCAAAGGTGCATGCTGAAGGCAGGGCTATGTGCCTTAGGCATAAGCAAAGTGCTGGTGATGTGTAGTGGTAGCAATATGATTTTTCAATTACCTTGATGTTCTCTTCTGCCATAGTGCAAAAAAGCTTCATTTACTCTTTTAAGGGAGGGAGATGACTCTCCCATGGGTAGCACTAGTGGCAAGCTGGGTACCTATGTCCCAAGGTTGGATGGGGCAAGCGGTGATTTTGGTTATGATATGCAGGCAACCAAGGCATTGCATGTGTACTTAGTAGCAAGACAAACTCGATTGCTTAGACAATTGGTCAAGCACACACGCAAATACGCTACAGGCGTTCAACTAAGGCAATTAATGAGTTAGGAGCTACATGTACCCTTTGTATGGTCACAGGTGAGCTAGTACGTGAGTGAGGAGTTAGATGCCCATGTGGATTGGCCACGATCATCCAAGCTGCACATACACCACAGATGCAGGTTATCGTCACTTAGATCGAGCAGTTATGGGCCGTTGGCTTATGTGTTTGCTGTGAAGCGCAACACAACAGACTAGAGTTAGGTTGGGAGGTCAACTTGGATGATTGCTTTTCAACTCTAGCCCTAGGTTTGGATCAGATGTCCTTATGGGGATTGGAAGTAATAGTTGCTTTGTATAGGACCATTTTCGGGGGTTTGTAAGGCACCTTGGCATTGTATATTGTGGCTTATTTAAGGGACCCGACTAGGATATTGGGGGCATATTGGGCATGAGCATTTCTCCCAAGTGTGCAATAATAAAGTAATTGAGTGGGAACCCTTTAACAACCTTTGTTGTATGTTGTTTCTTTACCGTCACTCCCTATTGTTTGGCTAACCAAGGTAGTGGCACTTGGTGCCATACAAGGGCTTAATAGGAGAAAAACAAATACCCATGTGACAAAAGGCATGGATCACATGTTGGACTGCATTAGGCCAAGCCAAGGTTGGGTTTCCAGCATTCTAAGGGCTATAAAGCCATCCTGAGAGTTGTCATAAGCTCAATCAGGCTAGGCTTAGCACCAAGTTGGGCTTGGTTTTACATGGGTCAAGCTGCACTGAGCCAAGGTTCCAAGTTTACAACTTTGAACATATTATGCTTAATATATTAATATTGTACATACTTGCCTTGGATTCATGTCCAAGCCATATATCAATACATACATATATGTATTGATATGTATGTCTGTTTTTAGGTTAAACTGGGTTTGGATGCAAACCCAAAAATAAACAAAATACCTAGGAAGTCTAAAATCTTCAGGAGTAAGTTAGAAATTATAACTCGTAGCTTGGAACGGTCCCTAGGTTCAAACAGAAACTTGAGTTTAATAAGACTTTTGATAGCCAAGAAAAAAAAACTGTTTGGCAGGGCTGAAGTGCGGTAGCTTTGAGATAGGCTCTAGATGAACAACTCATAAGCTAGAGTCTTTATTAGCTCTCACAAAGTGCTCCCCACAACACATTACAACTGTGCATGGAGAACATCTCCCTGTGAATGAGAACATATAAGTACGGGAGATGTTCCCAATGTGTTGTGGGGTTGATAGGTGAGCACTTTATGAAGAATTAGGATTTCACAAAAATTGTCCCAACATGCTCTATATCTATTCATCTCACCATGAGTGCGATGTATTAGACTTGTTCGTAGGTCAGACTTCAAGCCTAACTTTACACTATATCACGCTTGGGCTTTAGATTGGGCCCATTCAAATTTTGGCAAAAGCCAAGCCTGAGCCTAAGCTCGACCTATGAACAAGTCAAGTGCGGACATAGATCATGTTGGAAGTGTTAGAACATTATTTTGTTGTGAGCAAATCAGGCCTCTTTATGAGGAGCCAATCTAGACTCCATAAGCAATATTTGAAGGGTTCTCTGTTTTAGACTTTTAGCCTCTTTAAATAAGAGCCATTGATTGAGTCGCTTCTAAGAAGCTACTTATGATGGCTTCATCAAAATGTTGATTTTTTGGCTCATAGAAGTTTTTTTTTTTTTTTTGACTTTTTGGATTTTTACCAAACAAGGGCTAAAGACTATGGGTTATTTTGGTACTTGCGTCACCAAAAGCTACTGCATGAAAGCCCTCCCAAATGAACAATGACTTATCCAAATCACTTCAAAGTAGCTGAACCAGCTTAGCTGAATCTTCAATTCATCCTCCCAAACGGGCCCTAAATACTTGGAGTTGAAACTTGAAAGCAGACATAGGAGATGGAGTCTGGATCACCTTCCAACCATTTACCAACATGATCTCACACCACACATCTCATACATGATGGGTCCCACTTTTTTGGTGAGTCCCAGTCTCATGGTAAGATGTGCGGTGTTAGATCAAGTTGGTAGAGGGTTGGAATGTATTTTGTTAGCAAAGATCTCAGCACTAGGAGATGCGTTATGATGGTATTAGTGCATTGGTGCCATGTATACTTGTTCATGGGTTGGGTCGGGCCAAGTTTTGCCTATGTATCAACAGAATACATTTACACCTGAGCCCAAGCCCAGCTCGACCACTGGGCCTAGGTTTTGAGCCCAAGCCCAGCTCTCATATAAACCCTGAAGCTCGGGCCTGAGCCTGATCAAAAATTTGAAAACAATTTTTTTTCTTTTTTATTTAATAAAAATATGCTTTATTTATATTAAAAGCCTTCAAAACGCAAAAATGATAAAAAAATATCACTATTACTTGAAAATAATATTAAAAAAAAAAGAAAAAATATTGTATTGTCAAGTCAAATTCGGGCTCAGGCCGGATATTTTGAAAAAGCCCAAATCCAGCCCAAAAAAAGTCTGGGCCCATTATTTTAGGCCCGAGCCCGAGCCCATGAGCCCGTCCAGCCCGTCGGGCTACCCGGTGTAGTGACATGTAATTTTTGAGTGGGTAAGTGGAGGGGTAGGGCAGGCATTTCCAGTATAAAACGAGCTTTTAGGGCTTAGGGCTCCTCTCCAGTCGCTACTGCAAAACTCTAACTCTCAAGAGATGGGTCGTGTGATCAGAGCACAGCGTAAGGGTGCTGGATCAGTGTTCAAGTCCCACACCCACCACAGGAAGGGACCGGCCAGATTCAGAAGCCTCGACTTCGGCGAACGCAATGGCTATCTCAAGGGTGTGGTCACCGAAATCCTCCATGACCCAGGTCGAGGTGCTCCACTCGCCCGGGTGACCTTCCGCCATCCCTTCCGCTACAAGCACCAGAAGGAGCTCTTTGTCGCCGCCGAGGGCATGTACACCGGCCAGTTCGTCTACTGCGGTAAGAAAGCCAATCTCATGGTGGGTAATGTTCTCCCACTCAGGTCGATCCCTGAGGGAGCTGTTGTTTGCAACGTCGAACACCATGTCGGTGACCGAGGTGTCTTCGCCAGATCTTCTGGAGATTATGCGATTGTTATTAGCCACAACCCGGATAATGGCACCACCAGGTACACATATGCTTCTCATGATTTTCGATTGATTTTGATATTGTGGCCAATGGGGTTTCTTTTCGTATTTCCATTCAACATTGTTCACATGTATTTCCTTTTCTGTATTTTCTGTATGCAGGTTTCTTTAGCATATGAATTCTTCATTTCAGTGCTAATTTAAACCTTCTAATTGAAATGAATGAGATATTTTTGTTTTTAGGTTGGATAGGTGTGGATCTGTAGTGAATTCTGCCTAACCAGCTTTTTGTAACATGTTGTTTCACTTTGTTCTTCTAGTTGCTAATAAATGCATTAGATGTATGTACCAAGATATATGCTGTCTATGTCTCAACTGCTTTATAACAAGTTATAATCAGTTGTTAGATGGTTACTTGTGTGCTTTTGTTGACTTTATGCAAAATATCCGTGCTGCTGTCAGCCAGAAACAGATCAAGAAATTAGAATCAATTATCAATCCCTGAAGAAATATGCGCAACAATAGCCACATTTAATGAACTGTTTATGTTTGTAATTGGGTTAGACTCACAGTTAATCCCAAAATGAAGTATGTGCAAAGTAGCCCACTCTTTCCAGAAACATTGAACTGTGGAATCATTTTATTATTATCTATACCACATACTTAAATCCTCCTTTTCTAAATAATGGTTTCTCATTATATGTCTGAAAGGGGGAGAAATGTCATATGAGACTTTAAGGAGAAAATGGTTTTTTAAAGTTTAAGGAGAAATGGAAACTAATTTGGTGGTAAGGAAATTATTATTTGTGATAAGAAATTTCTATGGTTTAAGATATTAGGTTTTTTTATGTGTTTATATGTGTGTATTTTAGTATCCAGTCAAGTGAATGAAACTGAGATCTGTAACTTTCAATAAATGAGAAAAAATGGCAAGCCACAAATGCCAGTAACGTGTTCTTTTGGATTGCTCTTGTTCTCTTTACTTTCTGTTCCTTTAAAAGGTTTTGAGGAAAACCGAGTGAGGGTGTTCATCTCAATATTAGAGTGATTAGCTTGCAAGTGTGGGGTGAATTGCCCTGGTTATCCTATAGTACTTCCCAGACAATAGAGACCAAACAATAAGAGTGGATCTTGGGTCATTGGGTGTGTTGAAGGTGGATCATTGTTCCTTGTTAATTTGGGGATTAGTATTTTGGATTTCAAGTTCTTCTATCGTGGCACTTGGTCAGTGGTTTGGTGCCTAATTACTTTGTCAATTTGCTCTATTGCTTGCAAGTGATTGAAATTTTTGAAAGCAAGTGCCGTTGGATGTCTCTTGGTTGTGATTTTTGAAACTATTGTGTTTCCACCGGTGAAGAATGGCATGTAAATGATCTCTTGTTGGCCATTTGCTCTAAAAGCCAACCTTCATGTTGAAACAGAAAGCTGTCCTGTTCACTGGTTTGACAGTTCAATTAGGCAGCTTGCCTGTTGTAACAATCATAACCATCAAAAATGGGGGCATCCAATCAGCTTTTCATTACCACTTTTTTTTTATCAGTGAAAGATAATTATTTTAATAGCTCTCCATTACCACTTCAATTGGGTCAATGATGGTTTGGATATATTGCTGGTGGGGCATTAGCAAATTGATTGTCTATTGTGTAATATAATGTGAGAGATGGAGGTCATTATTGTGATTCTGACAATGAATTATTAACCGGAAAAGCATGCAATCTTATAACTGAAGGCTAGTTGGTGGCTGTCTTTGGAATGCCAAGGGTAGAGAATTATTCTTTATTCCCTGCTTTATACTTCATAGGGTAGGGATTTATTCAAAGCTGTTGGAATGTAGCCAATATGGATGTTACATGAAGAGATGGCCAAACAAGGTGTCTAGCATAGAGTTTGTGCCATCAGTGTGGAAGTCCCACCTTATGCAATTGTTTATGCCCTGCATGTACACAATACACACAGACATGCCTGTACAAGTTTGAATAAGTCATAAGTGTTAATCATCTTGTAACAATTTCTCCTTAAATGAATTCACTATAAGTATGCTTTTTGGCCTATCTACCAATATTTTTCCCTCTTCATTTTGGTTTTATAGTATAACCAACACTTGCTTGTACTCTAATAAAGTCTTGGTGTTAGCATTTTTTCCTTAAGCTTTTTGATCAGTCTTGTGGGAAGTACATGGGCAAGCATATAGCTGGCCTTTAATGGAGTTGATTGTTGATGGAAACATGTGGTTAGAAAAAATACATCATCGTTTATACTTAGCAATTGTTTGCTGAAGTTCATGCTTCAGCATTTATCAGCAATACCCTGGGGTTCTCCATGTTTGCTTGAGATACTCTTGGTGTTCCTACTACTGCCGGATGTATTTGGTTCATGTTTGCTTGAGATGGTTGTTTGATGCTTAAGTTCTGAATGTTTGCTTGGGCCAGTTGTTTATCGAATCTGATAACCTCGTGTTATCTTTAGGATCAAGCTCCCCTCTGGAACCAAGAAGGTTGTTCCAAGTGGGTGTCGAGCCATGATTGGCCAGGTTGCTGGTGGAGGCAGGACTGAGAAGCCACTCCTCAAGGCAGGGAACGCCTATCACAAGTACAGGGTCAAGAGGAACTGCTGGCCCAAGGTTCGTGGTGTTGCTATGAACCCTGTGGAGCATCCCCATGGTGGTGGTAACCACCAGCACATTGGTCATGCAAGTACAGTTCGTCGTGATGCTCCTCCCGGACAAAAGGTTGGTCTCATTGCCGCCAGGAGGACTGGTCGTCTTCGAGGTCAAGCTGCTGCAACTGCTGCCAAAGCTGAGAAAAGTGCTTAGTGAAATTATACGTCTGGTCCAGTTTTCATCATGTACTCTTTTTGTGCAATCTCAGACATCTCTATTTGTTTGTTCACTTGCTACCTTCTAATCAAGAGGGATATATTGAAGTTTTGTTCTAGTTTTAGACTTTTAGGAGTGAGATCTGGTCATTCAACATTGATTATTTCTACTACTATCCATTTTTGCAATCTTTATATTCTGTTTTGCTGACCTTCATGGCTTCATGTTTGATAACGTTTGCTTCAAAACTCAGAAGGACCGTTATTGTAGATGGCATCTCGAGATTGGAGAGCTATTGTGGATTTCTAAAGAAATAAAGATTGAGCTGCTTGTCCAAAATCCAAATCCATGCAGTGAGAGGAGTTTCTTAAATCTCAACTTTGAGAATTGAGATCCAGGCCTCGCTGGATAAATGATGCATCAAGCAATTGCGATTTGCTCCTCTCAGAATACACCTGGTAGTGCCTGCCGCGTATTACATTTGAATTCATGTTTATTGTTTCCAATGTTTGCCTTTTGGTAAGTTACTTACTTGGGTAAGTGCATTTATCCATGTTCTTTTAGCTATAGAAATCCATTATTGAAAGGGACAATTTTGTTCTATCCAATTGTTGGCAACTTTCTCCTTAGGTGGAAAAATTATTCTTCCACGTACCTAGATAAATTATTTGCCCCCCCCCCCCCACCTCTTAAAATCCAAAAAAACAAAAATGAAATAATTTAGTTGTCTAGATTCCTAAATTAGAAACCAATCATGAGATTGAAATTGTTAAATCTTTTGGTATTCAAATGTTTATTTTATTTATTTATTTGTATTTTAAAATAAATAAAAATTCAAAAGATAACTGGAGGCATGTGAATTTTTAAAGCCCAAACAAGTGGGTTTAATTTGCATGACAACCTCTAAATAATATGGGCTTCCATGAGTCCAAGGCCCAAATCTACATAAATGTCTTGATGGCCTAAGGATCCAAGTGTATTTAAGTCCAATTTGACCCATCTCCTATTGTAATAGGGTGGTCCTATTGGCAAAATCACTAACTCCTACATAATGGTGCATGTATAGGAGTTAATGCTAACCTAACACCCCACTCACAAGGGATTGGTTAGCTAAGTGGGTCAAGGTGGTAGTCCTAATCCTTGGCTATAAATAGCTTTGCATAGGAAGAAAGATGTCTTTTTTCTTCTTTTTGAGAGAATCGCACTACAAGAAGCTCTCAGACACTTAACACTGAATATTGCAAGCAACCACAAGCTCCTGCAACCTTCAGCAATTGCAAGATCAAGAGAGAAGAAAGAAGGGAAAAGCTTCTCCGTTCTCTACAACACTTGGATTCAAGCTCTCCAAAGAAGATTAAGCCATCGCAAAATGGCCCTTCTTAGAGAAGCATTCTTCATAACCGATCAAGTGCAAAGCCCGGAGTGAAGAAATCTACACCAAATCTCCCAAAGCACCAAAGTCAACGAAATCTACATCAACACTTCAAGAAGTACGAGAAACACGCCAACGGCCTTCGTTTTCACCAAATTTGACCGTCAATCAGAGGTTGCTCACGTCATCAAACAGAAATCAAAGAGAATTCATTCTCTTGTTTGTTTTCTTTATTACAAATTTATTTTTGTAATTTGTCTCCATATTTTGTGCTAATTGAAATACACAAAATTTGTGTCAACAATAACTTTTTGATATAAGATTGTATAGGTTTATAGATATATCAATTTCTTCTTAATTAAAAAGAAATCATAAAATTGTATCATTATCATGTAGAATATATTAAGTTCTTTTTTCTTATGTAACTTTATCTAGTTTTGAAATTTCATTAAAAAAACCATATGCCTAATTATTGTATCCAACCATAAAACATACATTGACACAATTTCTAAATGAATATATAATTACTATCTATATTTTATTTGCAAACATTACAAAAATGAAAAAGAAAATATTGAAGAACAAATTTCAATTGTTCTATGGATATTATAGATCATCCATATATATTCAACATATTCTTGGCCATATCACAAGAAAATATAAATAATTATTTTTATTTATTTAATTTCAAAAATTAAAATAATAGATATTGAAGAAATTTCAATTGTTATATAGATATAATAAATCGCCATTCGATCCCCAACATATTCAATCTTTAAGTAAATAATAAAAAATAACTAATTAATTATTATTTATATTTTAATTCTAATAATCACAACAATAAAAAAAAATAAATATTGAATAAGAAATTTCAATTGTTTTATGGATATGATCATATGATAGAACATCCACAAATTTACAACATACTCAATCTTTATGGGTAAATTAAATTATATAAAATTTTCCTTTGTGGTTATTTTACATTTTCCCCGAACTTCTTAAAAAATCCATAAATCTATTTATAATACCAAAAAAATCTATGATTTTGAACACAAAAAATGTAGATCAAAATTTATTTGACCATTCTAAAGCATTTAAATAAAAAACACAAGAAATAAAAATATATATGAAAAAAATATAAAAAAAAAAACCATTTTCTCAATATTTTCATAATTTTGAAAACTATTCACAAAACTTGATAATTAACACTTGTTTTGTGTGTGTTTGTTTGTAAATCTCACAATTTGCGAATGGGGTTTATTGTTTTAGAGGCTTTTTGGGCTGAAAGAAGGCTTCTTTTTGGGGTTGGAAGCCTTCCTTCGGGAATTCATAGCGTATCCATTGATACGCCACTCCAATAGGGGTGCAACTTGGGTGGGTCCAACCTGAGCCCAAACTTACTAGGCCCGAAACTTTACATGGGTTGGGCTTGGATTTTGGTCCTTGGGTTGGGCTTGGGCTCAAGAAGTCGGGCTTTTGTATTTTTTGGGCTAGGCCTGGGCCTATTCCTTTGGTAGCCCAAACATGGCCGAACTATACATATTCATACATACATATGTATATATAGGTAAATATATATGTGTATATGTATACTTTTAGAATGATTTCATTGACCAACCCGAGCCCGAGCCCAATCCAAATACATCAAATTACAATGTGGGTTGGAAAAATTAGGCTTGACCTTGGGCTCAGCCTAGGCTCGGGCCTTAAGCTTAAATTTTAGGGTCGGACCTAGGTTGACCATAAACCCAGCCCAACCCGCCCGGCTTACACCCCTAACTTCCAATATTCACTTATATGCTACCAATATGAAGTGGTACAATGGAAAATTTAAGAAACACTAATTCCTTATATTAGTTATTCAATGATACGATACAATATGCCTTGTATAAGGAGTATGTAGGATTGTCAATGGGTTGGGTGTAGGTAGAACTGAAATCAACCCAACAAGAAATACTCAGCACCTGAAACTGAATTAGGCCCGATATGGGTATGCAATGAACCAAAACGATCAGTTCTTTTATATATAGGGTTCCAAATTAATAGTAATTAGGACAATATATCAAAAACCGGAAATGAACCATTTAGAACCAAAATTGACCCAATCAATTTGGATCCCTCAAATTGAACCCGACCCATTGACAACCCATTGACAACCCAAGGAGTATCATGTCCAAATTTTAAACCTTAATCGCAAATGGAAGTTCATAGCTAAGTGTCACAACCCCAAAAGTATAGGTAGCAATCTTTAATTTACCCAAAAAAATTTCTATTCATCCCCCCATGGGTTTCTTTACTACTTGATGCAAGAAAACAGGTCATGAAGCTTACATCTATTAACTTGTAAACGTATTTATAGGCTTTAGGGTGTTCCTAATTTTACTGAGGTAACTCCATTCTCTTGATCCTATTTGGAGACAGAAATTAGTCAAATAACTCCTTTTCTTTACGCCATTGTTTCTTTGCAACTGTCAAACAAATATTAGGGTTTCAGGAATTAGAGTATAATATGGTTATATAGTCGTGCATCTCTTTTTTCTAACCAGAATCGTAGTATAAGGATATAACATGGAAAGCAAGCTCTAGCCATCTCTTGTGGACGTTCAATCAAAGGTCTTATTATCACATATCAGCAATTAACTCTATTAACTCTGATGCTACCAGCTTAATATATATAAAATTTTATATTTAATTTATATTATTTAATTTTATTATTATTATATATATAATTGTATACATCAAAATGCATATAAAATAAAATTTTAAAACTTTTTTTGTTTATTTTGTTAATTTATTTGATTTTTTTATTTTTTTTAAATTATATCTTTCATGGTTTGACTTGGCCCAAAGCTCAACTTACAGACCTGCCCAGTCCATGGCACGACATGGGCCTGCCTGGGCTCGGGCCATGGGTCATGCCGGGCTAACCCTCAGAGTATCTTAGGAAAATGAAACACAGCCCGGCTCAGCCCGCGGGCCAGCATGACACGGCCCGCCAAAAGCACGAGCCTCCCATAGGCCGTGCTGTGCCAGCACTGCCACCTAAAAGAAAAAATGCGTATAAACCGATTGGTTGGCCTCCTCATAAATCAAATAATTGGGCACCTGGCTCCGAGCTTCAAACCTCTAGACTAGTGACTACACAATTTATGTAAGTGTTTGATATCAATGCAGTTAGCGCTTCCTCCGTGTTAAAGTCATGTAGATGTTTTTTTTTTTTTTTTCCTGTTATCTATTTTTTTATTTGATTGAGTGTTTTTCAAGTGTTCTTAAACAGTTTGAAGTAATATTCATACCTTAGTGAAAACATTTTTTAAAATATATCAAAATGATGTTTTTAAAGGAAGCATTTTCTCCTTTTTGCCTGTACAGCCTCTAATGACACCTTACGCTAAATAACATTAGAAAATGTGCACAAAACACGGAATACTTTAACAAATCTCAAGGCATTGCTGCATTGATATCAAATATGATATATGTAGAAGTGGTAATTGGGCGGATTGGGTTGGGTTGGGTTGGGTTTGGTTTGGAATCCAATTCATCTAATCCGTCAATCCATTAATAATTCAGTTATATAAAATAATGGATTGGATTCAACCCAAACCCACCTTAACCCAATTCAACCCGCCCAAACCCATTAATTTTATATATATATATATATATATATAACAAAAAACTAATTCTCACTTGACAAATAAATTGGTCATAGCTTGGTGGTAATAGTAGTTGTTATTTACACAAGTGGTGAATGTTCAAATCATAGCATGCTATTTTTACACAAGTGGTGAAGCCAATTGATTATGTTTGGGTTTTGGGTTTGACCGAACAACTTAGGTTC